CATGGTAAAGAGCAAGAGGGTAAACATTCCATATTGTGACTTACAACGGTATTAATCCCATTCATGAAGGCTTTACTCTTATGATTTCATCTAATCCTAATAACCTCCCAAAGGCCACATTTACTAATACCATCACACCGTGTGTGTGTGTGTGTGTGTGTGTGTGTGTGTGTGTTGAGGGTAGAGTTTCAACATAGAGCTTGTGGAGGGAACTTTCCATCCATTGCAACACCCTTTGCCATGTAGCCAGGTAGTGCCCTACTACTATGACTCTGGGTTTGCCCCTGTGATGTTCTTTGGCTAAGAGGTATAAGCAGAGGCTAGAAAAGCACTCACATAGTTGAGATTGTTTGCTCATGCCCTGTCTCCACCATGACAATGTGCCTAGAGTAGCCTGTGAGAGAATTAATGTCACATGGCCCAAGCACCTAGCTGACAGCCAGACTTGTGAGTGAGCCCAGAGAAGACCAGCTGAATTCATCCTAAATTGCTGGTCCATTAACTGATGAGATAAAGTCAGTGAGTTTGGAGGTTGTTACACAACATTATTGCGGTAATTGATAATGAAGACATCTTTTACCCATCAGGGATAATTTGGAAGGGCTGTCAGAAAGAGTTAAATGTCTCGGCTTTCAGGCAATCAAATCATACCTTATGCAATTTAACTTGGAAGTTACCCAATACTCAACTACTTAGGCATGCTTATGTTCTATTCAAAGATAAATGTAACAGTACTATTTCAAGTATATATGTGTGTCTTTAGGCTTTTAGCTTTGTCCAAAAATGGGGTGCCCTCACACATGGACTACATCCCACCAGAGGGAGCTGGTCTCTGTTCCACATGTGTGATAGTCTCAAGTGCATTGATTGGGGGTTTTAGGAATGGATTTTTATATAAACTTGGTGTAATTTGGTGATTAAAGACAAGAGCAGCATCCCCTAGATACCCATGTAACTTCCTTATGGTGGTTAGAATGATGTTGGGGTTGTTCCCCAGCATGCTGATGGAAAATCATATGTAACTATTTAAATTTATTACAACTAAATAAAATTAATTCAATTCCTCAGTCATACTTGCCATATGTAGAGTGCTCAACAGCTGCAAGTGGCCAGTGGTTACTGCTTTGGACAGCACAAGTACAAAACATTTTCATTCTTTCAGAAAATAATAATTTTCTATCAAAACTTATAGCTTCTGCTGGCCACTTGATTCTGACAGCCTCTCACCCTGCTCCCTCTGGGAAAAATGAGTTATTGTTGTCTAGATTATTTTCTAACACTCAAACGAGCCTGTTTTGACACCTACAATGTTTAATATTCTCTTTGTTTATAGTTCACAAAGGTAACCATTAAAACAGAGTCTTTATTTATTTACCTATTCTGACGGGGAGTATCTATTCTACCAGGGAAGAGAGGCTTGGGAGGGGGTGATAAAAGCTGAGAGAACACCAAATTTGAGTTCTAAAAACCCCAACAAAACCGGAGGGGAAATAAAGAAGAAACTGAAGCAAAAAAGAGAACATTAGGCAAAATCATGCTCTATTACAGGCTCCCTTAAATTCACCCTCCCACCCCTACCCCAGCTAGAATTAGCATTTATTAGAGATTAGGGCCTGTCTCCATTCCTAGTTTCTTCAAGGATGGATTTTCCTCCAAAATGATTTGTCCCCAGATCATCCCTGTCCTCTCTTTACCCCTTTACTCACTTGGGTGAGGTGACTTTTTTGAGTGGTAAATCTGGGAAGTATAAAGTAAGCTACTTTGTGCTTAGGGTTTTTACCATGTGGGCTCCTCATGACCAGCCTCACACCACTCAGAGCCCTCCCAGAAGAGTGGCTGAGAGGTATTTGGGTAATTCTGCCTAGCATTGTGGGGTTTAGATGGCAGGCCCATTGAGGTCTCACATATGTCTTTTCTTTGATCTATGCTTCTATTAGTGAGAAAGGCAACATGTTGGTTTCTATTTGCCATTCCTTGTCCTATTTCTCAGTTTCTTTAGAATTCAAGTAGGGAAGAGACATGCTACTTATTGGATGCTCCCACAGACCCCATAGCCCGGGTAAAGTGTTTTCTGAGGCTGCTTCATGCTTGATTTGGGCTTCACTTGTGCACCTGTGCCTAGTTTAGCATGTGTCTGACCCCTGAAGTTATAAGCATATCCACGTAGATGAATGTGTAGATTCTACTACACGATGATAGTAGTGGGGGGCGCTTGATAGAGGTTGACACGGTTTAAACTGAGGTTTGAAGGAAAAACAGAGTTTTGGATAGAAATAGGGGGTAGGATGCAAAAACCTAGATCTGGGAAGCTCAAGAAATGTCTAGGAGGGGAGTGTAAAACAACCTTCTGCAGGGCTCCTGTGAGAACATGAGCAAAATGTCTGGAGAGAGAGAGATCACCATGGGTGATATTTCTTTTCACCTAAAAATCATTCAAAATCTTTGCTCATCCTTTTTAAAATTGTGGTACAATCGACATATAACATTATTAGTTTCAGGTGTACAACATAATGCTATTTGTACATATTATGAAATGATAATCAGAATAGGTCTAGGTAACATCAATTACCATACATAGTTATAAAAAATTTTTGAGTGTGATGGGTCACTGTAGTTTTGATTTGCATGTCCCCATTGATTAATGATGTTGAGTACCTTTCCATGTGCATAGTAGCCATTCATACTGGGGTTCCCTTTAAAGGTAGAAATACCTGCTTATAAAAGGTAGAAACATGAGGTGACAGACATGGACTGTGGAACTATGTTCCCTTCTGACACTCTAAGGCAGGAGTGGCAGCCCAGTTGGGGACCTATTTGAATAATATGGAAGGGACAACGTCTTCCTTGAGGAAAAGAAGATAAGAGTGGTAATTGGACCCAGTTCTCTGTTGGTTGTTTACAGTGAACTTACTATAGAATTGCCTTCCTCTTCATTTGTATTTTCTATACAGATAGTGGTCTCAGGATAGACTTGGTTTTGGAGGCCAATGGGTTTTGTTTAACTCCTCCATACTGATAATACCAGCTCTTCCATCATGTACCAAAAAAAGGGTGCAAAAACCTTCAAAATTTTTTTTTCTACATTCCTCCCAGACAGAACAAAGCTATCAGCCACTCCATGTAATGCATCTTTGTTGTTGTTTTTGTTAATATTCACCTGAGGATATTTTTCCCATTGATTTTTAGAGAGTGGAAGGGAGGGAGGGAGAGAGGGAAGAGAGAGAGAGAGAGAGAGAGAGAGAGAGAGAGAGAGACATGGATGTGAGAGAGACACATCGATTGGTTGCCTCCTGCATTTGTCCCAACAGGGGCTAGGGATTGAACCTGCAACCCAGGTACATGGCCTTGACTGGGAATGGAACCCGTGACCATTCATTGTGCAGGGCCGATGCTCTAACCACTGAGAAACACTGCCCAGGGCCATTTAATGTATCTTAATTTACATATAACAGAAGTATGGTTAGGAAAGGAAATAGGCACCAGCTTGATGGAGCTTCCAGTGACCAATCTGGGACAATTTGCAAGAAAATAAATAATGATAATAATAGATTGTGGCCCACAGAATAAAATAAATATCCACAAGTTCATATTGAAACAAATGTTAATTGAGCAAATACAGAAATGGGGGAGAAAGGACAACTCCTTCTTACAACACGATTCCAATTGTTAAAACTGAAGAGAGTGATAGGAATTGAAAATGACCATTTAGCATATATTGCACTGATGGACCATGGATGGATGCAGAAGGGACTGGGCTGAAGTATGATATGAAACAGGATATTTCAAAGGCTCAGAGTACCTCTCCACAAAATATTTATTACAAAGGGAGAAACAGTAACTGCAGTGGAAAAACCTATCAGATCCCACCTTAATCAAATGATCAAGGTCAACATAGCCAGCCATGGGACATGTCGACATCACATGCCCCTTGTTGTAATGCATTGAGAAGGGCACAAGAACAATTCTGTATATTCCTGCCAAATACATCCTAATCATGATAAAGCATCAGACAGACTAAAAGTGGGTTCTAGGGTCATTCTACCTCTGTTCAAACATCGCTACCCTACTTACTAGCTGTATGACTTTGGGCAAATCATTTCTTCTTGCCTCAGTTTTCTTATTTGTAAAATGAGGATAAAAATAGTACCTACTTCAAAGTGTTGTAATAAAGATTTAAAATGTTAATACTTGTACAGTGTCTAGAATAGTGCCAGAGTAAGGACTATATTATTACCTGCAATTATTATGTAAGACCAGCAGAATTTGCTGCTCATTTTAGGGATATTTTTTTTTTCCTCCCTTTCACCGTGCTTCTGGCAGCTTTCTGATTGATGCAGGGCCTGTGCTGATTCCTTCTGCCACCAGCTATTTTGCTCTAAGAGCATTTCCCTTTCCACCAGCAGCCAGGTAAAGCCAAATCCAGCACCACAATCTGTTGCTTAAGGATAATCATATTTTAAAAATCTGTATTGTTCTTTTTTCCCTCATTGACCCTTTCCTCCCCACTCCCAAACCCTCCTGCTTTCCCCAAACTATTGTCTGTGTCCATTGGTTGTGCATACACACATATAAGTTCTTTGGTTTATCTATCCCAACCCCCTGCCCACTTCTCTCTGAGGTTTGTCAGTCTGTTCCCTACTTCCCATGTCTCTGGATCTATTTTGAGGATGATCCACTTTTGAAGGAATCAGAATAATTGCTCTCTGAGTTAGGGTTGATACTGGGAGATGCATTGGAAAGACAGAGCTCATGTCACCAAAGAACCTTCTGTGGCCAGTTTCCCTTATTCCCAACATGGGATACATACCTTTTTGGGCTTGTGAGACTAATAGCCCTTATTGGTTTGGGGTGTGTGTGTGTGTGTGTGTGTGTGTGTGTGTGTGTGTGAATCTGCCTCATAATTACCTGAGGCCTCACCCCATGTCACATTTTACCATCTGTTTAGCCAATAAGACTACAACACACACCAGCCTCATTCTCTGCTTGGGCCTTACCTTTGATGTCACAATCTGACCTGCAGATATGAATCTGACCTGCAGATATGAATCTGGCCACAGCTGCTCACAAACCAGACAGCAAGGTCAAGAGGACCACCACAGTAAGATGTGGAAGAGAACTGACCATCAACCCAAGATCAAAGCAGGGGATGGACCTCAGGTGGGTCAGTTCAAGGAACTGGGTTCATCTCAGGAATCTGCCATGCCACACCCACTAGAGCTGTCAGAATTCCAGAGCTTCCTGGTGTTTGAGGACATCAGCCATCACATCAAAGAAGTGGGGGCCCAAATGGTAAAGAAAGTAAATGCCATCTTTCAGCTGGACATCACCAAAAATGGGAAGACTATTCTGCAGAGGACCATTGATCTGAAGAATGGTTCTGGGGACATGTATCCAGGATCTGCCAGGCTCCCAGCAGATACTGTCTTCACAATTCCAGAATCTGTCTTTATGGAGTTGTTTTTGGGCAAAATGAACCCTCAGAAGGCTTTCCTTGCTGGCAAGTTCAAAGTAAGTGGCAAAGTTCTGCTTGGCCAGAAGCTGGAGAGGGTTTTCAAAGACTGGGCTAAATGTTAAGCATGCGAAAATACCAAGAAAATGATCAGAACTTCTCTTTGGTTATAATGTTGAGCAGAAATCATGCTTAACCTGAAGATTAAAACAAAAATTATCCAATATTTTTACTGGAATTCTTCCTATTCAAGTTTGATTAACTTTCCTGCTATTCTATAAAATTGCAGTGAGGGTTCTAGAGCAGTAAAGAGTACTAGAGTAGTATATCACTAAAAATCTTTGTCCTTTCCTTTTTTTAGATTGATTTATGCTGAAATATGCTAGGGTGAAAGCCATATGTAGAAAATGGGTAGTTTTGGCATTTGGATTTTTTAAAAATCCCCACCTGAGGACTTTTTAAAATTGATTTTTCGAGAGAGAGAGAAACATCAATGTGAGAAACATTGATCAGTTGCCTCCTGTACATGCCCTAACCAGGGATTAAACCCACGACCTAGGTATGTGCCCTGATGGGGAATTGCATCCACAACCTTTTGTTGTACAGGATGATGCTCCAGTTTGTTTAGCCACCTGGCCAGGTTGACAGATTTAAATGGTGCAATGATTGAGTTCCTGATTCCTGAGAATTATTTTTTTCTTAGTTTGGTGTTTTGGGAAATAGTGATAACCATCATTGAGTGGGTTTGCATTCCAGTTGGTAGCATGGTTATTTGAGAAGGCTAACTATGGGTTGCAGAATTCTAAGGGGGTCGGCTTCACAGCTGTGTAGGTGGGAAAAGGAAATAAAAGTGATGGTGTTTCATCACTTGTGATAGATTTAATTCCAAATGAGTCGAAGGGCTTGAAAGGTGTTCTAGGCCACTGTTTCTTAAACAGTAGCATGCACCAGATCACCTGGAGGGCTGGTGAAAGCCCAGAGTGCTGGGCCCAAATCAGAGTTTCAATTCTATAGGTCTGGACTTGAGAGAATGTGCATTTCTGTAAGTTCCCACACGATGTTGATGGGAGCATCCTTGAAGAACCCCTACTCTGGTTCATGCCACAGCTTCCAGTACTGATCATAACTGTTCTATTCTAGACCAGGGAGATGTTGCCCTTATTTAAAAGATCTCCTGAAGACAGATTACATAGCCCTCTTGTGGGCCATTTCTAAAGTGTCAGGAGCTTGGGCACTGAACATTTTATAAAATTGAATGTCATTCTGGGAGATTTTCCCCTCTGGAAGCCCTCTCCACATATTGGGAGGACTGGAATGAAGCTGCTGGTCTGATGTAACTTCCTCATGGGTGAGTATGTGTGTCATTTGTTCCTGTGTGATCTGTGTGTATCTTTATTTGGTAGGTTAAATATACACAGTGTGGACACTCTGAAACCCAGATGCAAGTTTTATTAAATTGGCTATACTCAAACACATGCCTACCAAATGATTCAGTGATTCCATTCTTAGGTATTTTCCCAAGAGGAAAGAAAACATATGTACAAGTACAAAATCTGTAGGTGACCGTTCATAGCTGTCAGAGTCCCAAAATGGGAAGAAAGTAAATGTCTATTAACAGGTGAATGAATCAACAAATTGTGGTATGTCATACCAAGGAATACTACTCAGCAATAAAAAGAAATGAATTATTGATATATGCACAACAACACAACTGAGTATAAAAATTGTGGAAGAAGTCAGAGAAAACCAAGTACATACAATATGATTCTATGTATGTAACGTATTAAAAAATGCAAACCCTAATGACAGAAAGATCAATGGTTACCAAGAGATGGGGATGGGGAGTGGGAAAGGAAGAGGGGGTTTTTAAATGGTCATGAGGAATCTTGAGGTGATGGATAGATTCATTACCTTGATTGTGGTGATGGTTTTATAGGTTTGTGTATAGGTCAAACAGCAAATTGTACAGTACATACACATATGCAGTTTATTAAGTGTCAATAATAGCTCAATAAGGCTGTTTTGGCCTCCATTCAAAATGAAGTCTTTATAAAGAGGATTTAAAATTCTACCCTCTCAGCACAAGGAATCAATCGTCTGATCTCATTAAGCGTCTGCTTTTCCAACCCCTTACTGATTTGGGTGGTTCTGCAGAGGCCTTCCTAAGTTCTCCATGTCAGAAAGAGGCAGAGTGAGGGCTTGTTGCTAAAAACATCTCATCCTCTTAGTAGGAAATGAAGAGAACTTTTGTTCACTTGGCACTCAACTTTGTGGTAAGGCATTGCTGGGTTTGTGCTGGGGACTTGGAGCACTCCCTGGTTTCTTTGCTCACCTAGGTCATTCTGTGTAATGTGGTGATGCAGCCTGCAGGGCAGCAGTGGGTGTCATAGAGGCATTAGACTAATTTTGCCTACTGTTGTGAATGCTTACCTTTTCTAGAGCAGGCACTCCATTCAAGCTATATTTATGCATATCAAGCAAGGCTGGGCAAGTGTTTGGGGTGCTGTTTTTAAGAAATGGCTTACCTGAGTGGTCCTAGTTATACTGTGAGTAGCTTTTGGGGATTGACCCTGAGATATGAATTGCTTACAGATGGATTAGGGTGGGGAACCTTTTTTTCTGCCAAGGGTCATTTGGATATTATAACATTCTAGGGCCATACAAAATTATCAACTTAAAAAGTAGGCTGTTCACTAAGGCTGGTTTGGCTCAGCAGTTAGAGTGTCGGTCCAAGGACCAAGGGATCTCAGGTTTGATTCCGGTCAAGAACACATACCTTGGTTGCAGTTCCGTCTCTGGCTCTGGTCCGGGTTATGCAGAAGGCAACCAATCAATATTTCTCTCTGATGTCGATGTTTCTCTCTCTCTCTCTCCCCCTACCTCCTTCTTACTCTATCTGAAGATAAATGAAAAAATATCCTCTGGTGAGGATTAAAAAAAAAATAACCTGCTTTATTTGGGCAGGCTAATTTGTTGAGGTGTGTAATGTTAGCTGGCATTGATTTCATGGGCCTTATATGGCCTGCGGGCTGAACGTTCCCCACCCCTGGCAGAGGGATGGGAGGGAGAGAGGGGTTACAGAGGGCATGTGTAAGCTGGCAATCTGACCAAAGGGAAGCCCACCCCATAAGTTGACCAGTGACCTATTATGACTTGGGACAAAAACAAGACCTGAAACAATTAGATTTATTTCTCAGGATTTTGGAACTGGGAAGCTGAGAGACTGAGCTACAGTGATTAGTGGGGAGGGAATCTGAAAGGCTGGAATATAGGAGGGGTGAGGGAAGTACTGTGGGGATGAATGGGCAGCCACCCTGGTAGGAGCTGCAGAGAAGAAAGAGCAGAAGCCTTGAATAAGGAGAGAGAGCTGGTTAATTGAGGCAAGAAGAGGCCAGGTCTTGGGAAATATGACAGCAAACACCTTTTCAATGAAAAGGATCAAATTGCTTGATGTGGGATGCCATATGGAGAGGTTGAAAAGACTTAGGTTGTGGAATCAGAAATGTAGTTTTGAGCCCAGTGTCAGCGCTTCACATCCGTGTAGTCACCGGCAATTACTGAGACACTCTGTGCCTCAGCTGCCTTGCCTGGGAATGGGGCCAGCAGCCCTTATGACATCAAGTTGTTGCAGAGCTCCAAATAGGTCATGCCTGGCATAGTCAAAGGGTTTTCCATGTGTGTAACTTCCCTTTCTCTTCTGGATGAGAGGAAACCGAGGACTCTCATTGGATCCCCATTGTCTCCTGAAAAGCTACACTTGGCTTTCACAGGGTTCCAGAGACCTTCTTCCTGTCTCTGACACTCAGTTGATAACCTAGAAGTTCACACATAGCTCAAAACACACATCTCTATTTTGGTTGGTCTGCCCAAGTTTGGCCAGCACAGTGTTTATAAAGTTTGAATGACGTTTTATATAAGAATTGGATTTCTGGTTTCTCTTGAAAAATTATTGGGCCACACTGAGCTAGTGTTCCTGTCAGGCAATAGCTCTGGGGACTCTCCAGACAGGCTTACTCCCACCTTCCATGCTGCCTCTTTGACTCCCAGACTGGGTCTTGGTCGTCCTCCATCACTGAGCTTACACTGTTGTTTCTCTAGCTGGACCTGCTTTTGCTGGACCTTGTAGGTATTTGCATTCATGATCACAGCTCCCTCAATAGATACTCTTACTCTTCCCCTAACTCAAATATCCCGTGTTAGTTTTCTATTGCTGTGTAACAAATTAGCACAAGTTTAGTCCCTTAGAAAAGCACCTGTTCTTTGTCTTACAGTTGTTGCATGTCAGAATTCAAGGTTGGTTCAGCTAGGTTCTCTACCTTATCTCGTCACAGCCTGAAACCAAGGTGTTGGCCAGGCTGGGCTTTCATCTGAGGGGTTGAGGGAAGAATCTTCTCTGGACTCATTTGAGTTTTAGCCTAATTTAGTTCCTTGGGTTTGTAGAACTGAGGACCCTGTTTCTTCAGTTACCAAGCATGCTCTCTCAGCTCCTATAAGCCGCCCACATTCCTGGTCATGTGGCTCCTCCTTCTACCTGCAAAGCCAGTAATGGCGTGTGGGGCCCTTCTCAGGCTTCAAGTCTCTCTGAACTCTTCTGCCTTCATCTTGTGCCTCTACTTTAAAGGACTTAAGTGATTACATTGGGCCTACTCAGACAATTAGTTACTTTAATTACATCTGCATGTATTGCTTCTCGGCCTTTTGCCTAAGATCAAGTGTAGTATCTGTTCTTATCAGTTTAATTACAGTTGCATGTAAAGTAATATGTGAACTGAATAATTATACCCCTTCCCCCAAAATTTCTATGCACTCTCTCTTCACCATGTGATGATACAGCAAGAAGCCGCCAATTAGAATCCAAGAAGAAAGGTCTCACCAGAACCTGACCATGCTGCACCCTGACTTTAGACTTGCAGACTCCAGAACTGTTGTATAAGATATCAAGTCTACAGTGTTTTGTTATAGCAGCATGAGTTGACAAAAAGAGGCATTCATGGGTGTGATGTATCATATCTGTAGTCCTGGGGGTTGGGGTGTAGATTCTCCTTGAGGGCCTTAATTCTGTACTCTTGAATCTACCATCTAAATTATACCTACCCTTTTGATCCTCCTCCAAGAAGCTGTCCTGTTCAGTTGTCATCTTGTCCCACAGTTCTTATGCCTCTCGTTCTCCCAGTGTTCCAAATGTGGATGGGTATTATCCTATCTGGGCCAAACAAATTTCGGTTTTCCCAGGA